ATTCTACAGCATATTTTGGAAATCGATAGAAAAAAAGTGGTACTGGTCCAAGGCGCATAAGAGCTCCATTACCAGCAACTTCAGTATCGCTACAATAGACGTTAAATTCATCGATGAGATGTTTATCACCGGCAATATAGTCTATTTCTTCATAAGCAATGTTATATTTCTTACTAAAATCCATTTGACGACTCTCGAATTCTTGCAATGATTGACTCGTAGATAGACCAATATCAAAGCATTTTCCTGTTGATGACATGTATCCTGCTCTATACCACCATTTGTAACGAACTAGTTGATCATAGAGATTTAAATCACCTTTGACTACAAGTGAGTTAGCCAAACAAAGTGCCATGGAAGTGTCATCAGTGAACTAAAAATGTTATATTTCCATGGAATAAAACAATTTTAAAAAATAATGACTCTTATGTGAAAAAAATGGCATTTTTCATGATGAAACGGGCATAATTATGCATGTATTTGATGTTCATCTTAATCAATGAAAATCAAATACATTTATGGTTAAGTCCGTTTCATCATGAAAAATTCCATTACTGTAGTAGGGAAAATACCATCGAAAAGTTTTTAAATATCATCCTAATTGTTATGAAACATTCATTCAGAATAAAAAAACACAAGAAGAGAAGAATTCATCTTACTACTAAAAATACTTTTCAAATGTTTTTGAATAAGATTTTATTCTATTTTTATATTTCTAAACGGAGCTTTTTGTGGCGAATTCGAATGCTGTTACAATACTATGCAAGTAGTACACATCCAGAAAGTTTTTTTCTATTGCAAATTCTAACATAGAGAGATATCTGTATAATAGACTTCTCATGTGTGTAAAATGCTATACTTCAATCTATGCGATCGTGCCTTTAACTACATGTGTGTAGTTGAAACAGAGTTTTGTTTTCATCAGAAATAATGGTTCCGAAAAATAAAAAGTGTCGATTTTGAATATATATGTTAGCGTCCAATCTCGGATTGGCCTAGGCGCATCGTGGATGCTTACATTGAACTAGTCCAATATCGGATTGACGCAATTCGGTTCACTAAAATATCAATTACTCTTGAGATAGATGTTGGATTCGAATTATTTTTTTGAAATTATGTTCTCACAATGCCGTTTTAAATATTGCAGGCGTTCAGGCACAAGCCAAATTTAGACTGAAGGACTTAATAACAATTTTTCATAAAAGTTGTTGTTCTGTAAAAATTTATTCATAACTCCTAAACTTTAACTTAAGGCCCACCCCCCACCCAAAAAAAGTTGATTTCTGTCAAATTTATCGATTTTTTTTTAATGGCGCATGTGATAGAGCATCACGTCCGCTATCGAATGCACTATAGTTTATTTTGTTTACGACGGTTTTTCATGGTTTTACAGAGGTTTTTCTTAAAACCTTTACCCATGAAAAAAGACGTCTTTCGAATAATTCAATTTTTTTTGCGCATTTCAACTTGTAACGGTAAAATATATTTCTTTCTATTGTACAGAATGTTGTCTTGACATTGATTCTATCACGTAGCGAGATATATATTTGTTTTTCTTTTACGTTCGTTCTCTATACTTTCATCGTGTTTGCTGTGATCCAAAAACAGAATTCGAAGTATACGAAAGAAAAAAGTAATACGAATCTTTTAGGGTGTGGGTGTGGGTGGGTGTGAGTGTGGGTATGGGTGAGTGGGTGTGGGTGTGAGTGTGAGTGTGGATATGCGTGAAGATATCAACACTCATACCCGCACCCACACCCACACATCCACACCCACACCCACACACCCCACACCCACACCCACCCACACCCACCCCACACACCCACACTCACACCCACACCCACACCCTAAAATCTGGTTTTTAAGATCATTTCGATGAACTTTCTAATAAATTTTTGTCGTAATATCTTCACCCATAATGAGTTCAAAGTGTCTTTTATTATTTAAGATGATCGAAAAACACTATAACTGGATGAAAAGTCATGAAATACACTTCTAAAAAGTATTTTGCGTTTTTCTCGAAATGAGATTTTTTGATTTTACGTTTTCGTGCGTCCCAGATTTCTCCGCCATTTTGAAAGCTAGAAAGTTCGGGTTTGTTTTAAAATGTAGTCAACACTTGGGGTTATAACTTAACAGAGCCCGATTTTTCGATTTCGTGATAGATGTCAGATGAGGGGGAAATGTTTGAGAATTTACACCCTACTGATTTCATATCATGACGTAGAAGTTCTCTAAAAACTAAGCTAAAGAAAAATTAAAAAATCGGACTCTGTTAAGTTGTAGTTCCAGATATTGGCTACATTTTAAAACAAACCCGAGCTTTCTAGCTTTCAAAATGGCGGAGAAATCTGGGACGCACGAAGACCTATGTTTTGGACCTTAATATTAAGCTATCTCCTGGAATCCTTAAGATTTCAGGCTGAAATTTTTATCACAAGGTGCCCATCCCAAGATACCTCTATTCTGAAAATTTCGTTAAGATTCGATGTTCTATGGCAAAAATAAAATTTTGGGTGGGGGGGGGGGGGGGGGCCTTAAATCTGTCCAACAACGATTTTGATAAACAAATTGACATTATGTGAATATAATTTCAAAAAGTAATTCGAATCCAACATCTATCTCAAGAGTAATTGATATTTTAGTGAACCGAATTGCATCAATCCGATATTTGACTAGTCCAATGTAAGCATCCATGATTCGCCTAGGCCAATCCGAGATTGGACTGAATCCGAGATTGGACGCTAACATATATATTCAACTATCCATGCATTAAAACACATATGATCATTTTTATGTAGAATAATATCGAATAAAAATATTTTTGTTAATGTTTCCTTTTCGAAGACATACGTATGCAAAACAGACTACATCCAATTTTTCATCAAACGAAACAAAAGCATATACCTGGTTAATATATTTATTAAAAGGTATTTATTTTCTTTACGAAAAGTGGATATTGAATTAATCGTCTATGCAATATAATTTGAAAAGATGTAGGCAACAAAAGTCGACTTAGATCTATTGTGAAACACTAAGATAGTGTGAAAAAGCGTCTTTTGTGTTAAAAATTGATTTATGAAGTATAGATACTATCCGATGAATACAGCGTTGCTATCAGTTTTGAACGGAACTGTTGATAAAAGGTTTTCTCAGATAAAATAGCAAGGTAACAAATAAAGTAAATTTCTTTCTGACACACTATCAGGAAATTTACTGGCATTCGTTGATGAAATACAGTAGGAAAACATATTTTAATTATTCGCAACGATTTCTCGAAGTTTATATATATAAAGAAAAATTGAACTTTTACTTTTGTGTTTTAGAGATGGTAACGAACAATTCTCAACTACAAGATCCTTTCTTGTTCTTCATATTTATGCACTATCCACAGAAGAGCGATTGACAGTATGATAATATTGTTTTTAATAACACTAGCGAAGTTTTCGAGTCAATCTTCAGTTATAGAGTCACCAGTGGATTCGCTAAAAAATATGTGGAATCCTAATGACTTTACAGAAAGTTCATGAAAAACATGTAGTTTGTGAAAGTTTGCTGAAGAGTTGATGAGGAAGGACATGTCTTCTATGGTTCGAATGCAGCATTCATTTTTTAAAAGTATTACAGAGAATCAATTCTATTTTTTATATAAAAATTGATGGCACTAACAATTAAAGGAGTAAGTCTTATTTGCAAAATATAAAGAACTTTTCTCATATACGGACGAAGAACATATGAGAAAAATCACTATCCCTGCTTCCGTCTCAGTGAGAAACAGTACGCATCAAGACTTCATAGAACTTCTAGACTTAAAGACTGAAGCCTCTGCTGTCTTTTCCATCGCTTTTCACCTGTTCCCCCTCCTCCTCCTGACACGAAGTGTATATGAATGTGATGATAAATGGCATCGTATGTGACCGTTGACAAAAGTCATAATAATCACTGTGAAGTTTCAACAAATACTCAGTGAATCCTCAGTGGGTTTCTTACAAAGCCTTAGAAGGCTCTGTTGCTATTCTTCGGGAGTGTTGTAAAAGACTCCTTAAACAGTCTTTTAAAGATAACATATAAGGATATTGACTTTTAGGCTATCAAAATAAATACCGTCATAGCAAAGTAGCATGGATACTCTAC